GCCCCCTACCTGTTTCTCTGTGTACTGCCTTGCAGCAGTCCAAGCTGGAGAAGGCTGACGTCCTGGAGATCACAGTGCAGCACATGGAGGGTCTGCAGAGGAGACAGGCCAGCGGTAAGTGATACCAGACTGGGCACAGTGACTGTGACTGACGATGCCTCTGAACAGTGTCACCCAGCGATAGAGAATGGGTCTGCTGGCATGCTGAGCGCGGCCAGCCACATGGCCCATGCGGAATCAAAGGACAGTGACTTGCAGAATCCTGAGGTGCTGTTTCTTCTCATTCTCCTCCCACTCCTGCCTGCTGATCCACAAGACCTAAACTCCCAAGAAGAAGCTGCGGGTGAATATCTTTCACTTTTGGCAGTGTGCGTGCTCAGCAGTCCTGAGAGCTAGTGACTGAGACCTTGACAATACAGAAGAGCTGGTGTCTGACGTGTTCAGCCATTCTGCAAATATTCAGACTTCCAGGGTCTAGATTAAGTGAGCTCAGAATCAGGTGCTGCTCTTTTTCCCCCACAAAGAGCCGTGAGAGGTGGCTGTCCATGTTGAAGGCGATTGCTACTTTGGATGCAGCCTTTCTACATGTGTGGTGAAAGACACCAGAGTGACAGGCTGAATCATTAACCATGAATATGATCCAGACTGAAGCACAAAGAGGAGTCCAGGGACAGCTGGTGATGGTTTTCACACAGAGACCAACAATGATGGATGTTGGCTCATACAGCTCTTCTGGTCTGGCCTGCAGGTGGTGGAAAACCAGGGTTCGAGTCCCGGCAGCGCTACAGCAGCGGCTACATCCAGTGCATGCACGAGGTGCACAACTTGCTTCTCAGCTGCCCGGGGATGGACAAGAACGTGGGCGCGCGCCTCCTCAACCATCTCCTCAAGTCGCTGCCACGCATCACTGGAGAGGCCGGGTCTCCGGCGGCGTGCGGCGGTGGTGCTGTCAGCCCCGGCAGTGCCCACCACGCGCCCATCCTGGCACCATCCTCCCCGGTGTACGAACCTCGACCTGCGCACCTTCCTTCCCCATCCCCCCTGGCGCATGCCCCTGGGGCACAGCGCCAGCACCACCATCTCAACCCCAGCCGCCTGCCGTCCCCCACCACGGCGTCCCAGCCCGAGGCGCCAGAGGGCAGTGGCGGCGGTGGGGAGACGGCGCCCTCCTCCCCTGGTTCGCCGCTACCCAGCCCCCACAGGCCTCTGCCCCTCCCAGGCAGCGACCCCTCCATGTGGAGACCATGGTAGAACAAACCACAGCTACACAGATCTATCTCAGTGGCAATAATTCCCCCAAACAATTTCTAAGGCACGGGCAGACATCTGGAGGTTTTCCGAGGGAGGGGACAGATTTTAGGGGTTTTATTCTACCCGATCTCTTCCTGACCTAACCGAACCAATTAACCTCTTCATCGGGCCATTTTAGACAATTGCAAAAGGCTTGAATTTTCTCCATCTTGACATTTCTCAAAAAAACCTGATAAACAGAATCCAGCGGGGGGGAGTGTTGAAGTGGGTAGGTGGGCCGTCCTGGTCCAGAAGAGCACCTGTCCATCAGGTACATAGGTCATCATTTCAACCATTGATTCCCACACTGCTAACCACATCACCCTCTTTGGTAGGATAATCTAAGCATGTTTTGTTAAGGAAAGCTTGTATACTCATCCAATGGCCTTCCAGGACAAGTGTCCACTCTAGGTCTTTAAAAAGTAAGGAATGAGCTAATATTCTGGTTGGACTGTGGCACTCTGGGACCAAGGACAGCTACTGTGGGACCAGTTGAAGCTACAGGCTCCTTTTTCCTGCTTCTGGAGAACTACAGGGGCTTTTCTTTTACCGACGTCTTCCACTACAACTCTGAATGGCTTAACTGGATGAATGTTGGACTGACGTGGCCTACATTTCTCAAACCCTTGTTGGCTAATACCAAGAGCAAAGCATACACAGGAGATCTATGGTGTTACACTGCTCTTTTAAACCTCAGGGACAAACAAATTGATCTGTTCTCTCCTGAGGTTTGGAGTTCAGCATCCACTGATCATCAAGAGGAAGAAAGAGCTGTAAGTGACTCCTGATGGTGTTTTTCTTGAGTTTCCATCTTCAACTCTGCATACAGCTTCTTCATTCATTATTGAACTTGTTTCCTGATTAGCTGGCTATGCTATTTCAAGCCTTTAACCTCTGAGCAGTTGAAAATAAACAGGAAACCTGCAGAACTGAAACTATTCAGGACCAGAGTCTGACTATTGCTGACATTCACCACCCATTGCATATGATATTAAAGTAATGCTGGATTGAGCACTGATCAGGACCATTACAGATGCAGTACAGATATGCTGCAAATGAAATGGGAATAATTGCAGGTTATGTTTTTGTGATGCTTGTTCCCTGTGGTGAAATTGCCTGGTATACGATATTTGCGTTGTCTTACTTCTAATGAAGTGACTTGTAATCTGTACGGATGTTTGCAGTCTTACTCTTTGCATCTCGACTGTCTTTTTTTATTTTCATAAATGAGTGTGTGGAGGTTTCATTCCAGAGCCACGAATAGGATGTAGTAGTAGCTGTTGTTGTTGTTGTTGTTGTTAGTAGAATATGTGTTGCATAAAAATCGGAATTTCTGACTAGAAAAAAATCATTTATCTTCTGACAAGCAAATCTTTAAAAAAGGGTATATTGTTTAAGTGTTACTTGAAGGACCACAAGACTGAACGATGTGTTTTGGTCGAGTGTTTCAGAAGAGTTTTCTACAATTTGTTTTGAGAAAAAAAAGATGTTTTCCTCAACTAGGGACCTGAACTCCAGCCCTTCATATTGAAGTGACAGATCTGTAGCAGGTGTTAATGAAACAAGAGAGAAGTAAATGCAGAGAGAGAGAGGTGCATTGTTGTGCTCTATATCGTTAGTGACACTTCAGAATGGCAACTTTAAGGCGTGTCATACACTTTATTACTGAAACACAGCTGGTGGAGCGCGAGTACCTCTAACACATGTAGCATTACTGTAATGCAAAATGTACGGATTAGTAATTATTAGCGAAATAGTATAATTGCTTAACTGCTTAAATAGGTTGTCCAATATTTTCTTGTACAGCATTCAGACCCAGATAATTACTGTCAATGCCACGTCCCGTCGTTAATATTATTCAAATGTACATTTTGTATGTATTTAATCAAGTAAAAAGTGAACACACTAGTTTAACCGCCGTGATTTGCTCTTTGCCTCGAATCAACTGCTCCTTAGAAGAATAACGTCTTGGTTGCGGTTTTGTTTAACGCAAGTATAAATAGCTGTGTGTCCACCAGAACAAGCTGAACAAGCGGGAGAAAACCCAACCTTTGCGTCCGCATAACTAGAGCAAAAACATTCAGGGCAGATGTACAAATATCCTGCTGTAGGAGCGAAGACGCGCGCTTTTTTGCTACACAGGTGTTGCTGTTTTCACGAGGCGTTGGCCTGGGCGGACAAGCCGTGGTTTCCGCGAGGACGTTAGGCCACTGGAGGTTATAACCCAGGCTTAAAGCGCACGTGTCAAGCGCTGCATTATGAAACCACTGTCCCCCTCGCACGCTGACGTGACTCGGGCAGCTTGCGTCCTTTACCAAACCATGTCGACATTCTTCCTAACACAGAGTTACATAAAAAGCCCCTGCAGCATGTCCACAAAAACCATCACAGACTTTTCAATCTGCTGACCTCATTGTCACGGTTACTTTCCCCGCCACGGACCCGGGGAATCTCTCGTTGACGCAATCAGACTGAGAAAAGAAAAACAAAAGCCATCAGCGCCCCCTGCTGGAAGCTTTGAGAAAATGACTACTACGATGTCATTGGAGATATCTGTTCAAAGGTACTTTGAAGAACAACATCCACTGCTATTATTAGAACTGCCCATAGCATCAACACTTCTAGTATCAATAAGCGGGATGAGAAAACATCGTTGTATACGCACCATGTCCATGGAAGAGCGTGTCCAGGTACCTGCAGGTCTCTGTGGCGCAATCGGTTAGCGCGTTCGGCTGTTAACCGAAAGGTTGGTGGTTCGAGCCCACCCAGGGACGCAAGGTCGCCTTTTACTAGAAGGTGTCATCTTCGGGCTTTTATGCTGTAAGAGTGACCATTCATCAATACAATCAATAATCACCTCCATAAACAGACACGACTAACTCCGACATAAGGCCAGCCTTCAAAAGGCACAGTTCATATGTTGGGCTGTCCAAACACACCGCAGGAATCGAACATCGGCATCCCGTCTCTCACATTTTTTGTTTCCAATTTTTTGGGGGAATTAAACAAGCAACATCAGGACCATAACAAGTGACGCCAAGAAACAGTGCATAAAGTGTGACAGATTCGCTCCCCTCATTCCCCCAGCGGTCCCTCAGACCCCCTACAACCAGACCTGCGCGGACCCCCTTTTTAACCGGTAAACCTCGCAGATAAGGTTGACCACTACAGTTCGCTCAACACAGGCTCTCCGGTGCCCAGGATCTGGGGTGCAGGGTTGCGTACCCCATCTCTAGAGCCTCACCCCAAGCCTGGTCCGTGCGGGCAGGCGTGACTTCGGATTTCCATTCCAACTCCGCTCTTAACGAGCTCGACCAGCTCGTTACCAGTTCAGGTGGGGAGCTGCGTCAGCATGCGTAGGCTGCAAAGGAACGAGTAATCGGTTTATTCCATGCTGAAATAAAAGAGGAAAGAAAAACACAACGTTTCGGCCAGCTCGTTACTAGTTCGACCGGGCCAGCTGAACTCCTCCCTTCGGCTCTTCAGCTTCCGCGGCGTAGAAGAGACTTTGAATACCTGCTCAGCCTCTCGGTCGCTGTGATTTCGGGTTGACATATATAAAGCGCCGTCTTTCGGATGAGATGTTAAACCGGGGTCCTGTCTCAGTGGTCATTAAAGATCCCCGGGCATTTCTCCATAAGAGTAGGGAGGTATCCCGGTGTCCGGGCCAAATTCCCCCCCTCGGCCTTAACCGTGGTCTCCGGATTTTCCCCATGTATGATTGGCTTGCACTCGCGTGTGATGGACTGGCGCCCAGTCCTGGGTGTGCCCTGCCTTGCGCTCGTTGGGTAGGCTCCGGCTTCCCGCGACACAGAGTCGTGTAAAGCGGTTTGGCAAATGACATTTCATGATATATATATATAAAGCAGAGCTTTCGATAGCGTATGGTTTTCGAAGACAACACTTTTGTTGTTTTTTTTACCTGGTATACCTTAACAGCTCTGTTGCAGAACAGGCCTGGCCTCGGACGAAACAAAAAAAAAAGATAAGATAAAACCGAGAACCACAACAAAGCGACAACCTGTTAAGAGTTACGAGAACGAAACAGTTGCGATTCACGCACACCGTGCCGGTGTGTCTGTCTCTGACACATCCTCGGCAAGACTCGAGAAAATAATGACATTTCCTGAATTACAGGTGCGGTCCCGTGCTGTCTTGTAGCTTTCCTCCAGAGACCTCGGCTCAACACCTTGATGAAACCTGATCACACGATAATGCGGTTACTGTGAAGCGTGCACCGCGAAATCACAGTTTCTCCTTTGGCAGGTATTGACAGAGAAAATGCACATCTCTAGTAATATAGACTATAGAGGGAAACCGAAATGGGAATTAGAGAGATGGATTAACTTGGCAGAGCGAGGTCAAAAGCAACTGTACAGACTGAGATACAGCTTTCTGTATCGCCTGTGATAAGTTTGCTTGTATTGTTTATAAGAAGCTCGGCTTAATAACGGTGGAAGGATTTCGAAGCAACGTTTTCTAAACTTTGGTAGACGCAACCGGCTTGAAACCCACAACCCCAAGGGAATCCAGCCCTTATTATGCGTCTTGAGCTGCTCAACCACGCGTAACCCCGGCTCTTCTGTGGGTGGTTGTAGGAACTTTGGTCTCGACCTCCGCTCACCGCTCAGGAGACAAGCTGGGCGAAGCAGAAAAAATGTCGGCTTTACTAAGCCGAGGAACCCGTGTCGGAAAACGATAAGATAACATGAAGATAAACATTAGTTAATAATTACAATGTGAAAAAAGCAGGCGTTTCGCCTCGTGATTCTCGAGGAAGACCAGAACCTGGAGCCCAGTTTGAGCTCCTGATACGGGAGAAAGCAGCGGTGGACCTCTGGGGACGTAAAGGCCGTGGAGGAAAATTCAGTTTGACCGCGTTACGTTTTGGCGAGGGGTCTTCTGTGTGACAATCTCAGGCCGCCACACGCGGATACATACAGACTGAGCCGCATAAGGATCAGTCTCTCTCACGCACACGGCCGCTGTCACCTGCTGTACATACCGCAAGCTCAGGGAAAAAAAAATATCCGGTAGTTGTTTTTCCTTTAATGAATGGGGACTGTGATTTGACAGAGCTTGCGGACTTAGAGATTACGATCGTTTTAGGTTCGTTCATTGCTTATCACAAATCTGGAGCTTTCAGCCTATGCTGTGACAAAAAATATATCGTTCAACCGATTCAACAGTCGAGTTTTTTTAATAAATCTGTACTCTTTATCTTTTAGGTCAGCCTGTAACTGATTTTGTTTTCTGCAGCCCAATAAAATGATTGAGTGCACATATCCTGACTATTGAGTTTGTGTTCTTTGAATGTAAGTGTCGGTGTCTACACGCAGCATCTTGGAAAAATCCTTAAATAAAACTTGGTGAGACATCTGTCCCCGGATGCTACATACCCATTACGAAAACATTCAACACAAAGTGACATCGAAAACAGTAACAACAAAAGTTTCACGCAAGTAAAAACCACAGTAATTTATTGATTTGAATTTATTTGTATAAGAGATTGCATAATTTTTTACAACATTTTACAATGTTTACAATGTCCAGTGTAAAAAAAATCGTTTTTTTCAAAATTATTCTGTGGAAACCGCCGGCAGAAAATATTTCGTCTTGCTGTTTCGTTATTATTTCACTAGGGTGGTCGTAGTTTATCAATCGAAAAGGAAACGCACAGTGTGTGAAGCCTATATCACAAAGTCGTTGTTAGCAAATAAATAAACATCTAAGAAGTGTCGATTAACCACTAGACGCCTCAAACGGAAAAAAATGAAGATTGAAACTCCATCATGTTACAGATTTTACAGTCCTAGCAAACGGACTGGCTGGGCTTTATATTCCAGCGCATTTTTACACACCCTTTCAAAGCCCGTAATGTCTGGAGATCCGATAACTAGTCCTCTCCTGTATTATTTAACTCGGAACTTAGATCACCCGAGATCTATAAAAAATAAATATAATATAAATAAAATCATATATCATAAATAAATTTATTTAAGACTATTTTCCCCCTCTATGGTTTTTGGGTTGCTAGCGGCTAATTATTCCAAAAATCTCTTTCACGAGTCCTAGAAAGAAGGGTGTCCGGCAATGCCGTCGGGTAGCTTGTTCCAGACTCCCACAACTCTCTGTGTAAAAATACGCTCCCCTGTAGTATCCATGCGCGTCCTGTGTTCCGTGTTTCGGTTCTCCTTCGGAAAAAGTCCATTATTTCAAATACAATGTCACAGGGTCCGTCTGTCTGCACGGGCGGTGGTGTCTGTTATTTTCGGAACTGAAAACACATCCGTATTCTTGTACAAATCAGAGCTTAAATGCAAGCAGGATGTGCTGGGCAGTAATTAAGGTTCATAAATTAAAACTCAATCAACTCTGTTCATTTAAAAGAATCATGACGTCGTGTCATTTGAGGAATGCCCAGTTCCAAGTAAATAATCCGTATTTGTTGGTGGTGGTATTTTGCTGCTTTGTTTGAAATTTGGTTAGAAATGTAGCGAGAAAATCAGTCTACTCGGTGTCCATCTTTCTCTATGAGGCTCCCGAAGTCTCTGTTAAGCCCCACGGGTAACGCGTGTCAGTCTTTCGGGTAGCTGGGACGGAGATTAGGGCTACCACGCTGCGCCCCCGCCCGGTAGGGGGCACTGTGTCGCGGCTGAACATCCTGCAGCAGGCTGGGGATAGAAGTTCTGGATGTGGGCGAAGGGGACGGGCATGGTTCGGCCCGGGATCCAATACGGCCAGTTTCTCTGTCTGATACGAGGTAAATGACGAGCCCTGCGGTTCTGGAACCACACCTAGAAGAAAACACTCAGGATTAATCCTAAATAATGACATTGAGTTATTTGCAAAAACGAAATGTGCTTTTGCACAGGACCAAGTTAGCCGACATAGTATCTACAGTAGCGCTATGAGCAAAGCAACCGCCGAAACTGTTGCGCTGGTGGAGTCGCCGCTACTGTCTGTAATTTTGTAGGAAACAGTTCAGTTCAGTACTTCACTGCCAACTAGTTGCATGAAATTTGACCTTTTGATAAGCTCGTACAATTAAAGCTATAATTGAACCTAGAACAGACTAAGCATGGTTCCGAAATGTTTCGCGTTTGATTTTGTTAAGTCACAAACTGAATAACAAAACATTTCTGAACAACAACATGTTAAGCTGCCGTTGCATTAGCAATGAAGTTATCGCCTGCCTCAGATAGGAGTCTATGAGTAGATCCATTAATTTTCATGACATTAGCCAGTAGATAACCGGCCTGGATGTCAGATCCCTTTGCTGACTTATTTCCCACTCTTGGTGATGATGACAACCGACCCCTACCGTCCACCAACAACACAACCCACCCACATCCTATAAGCTGGTTTGGCAATATTTTACTTCTGTGCTCCTTTTTACCTTCAATTGCAAACGCACAAACCACGACTTTCAAACTGCAAAGAGGCTGGAAAGAGAACATTGGCGGCGTTCAGCCGGTCATGAAATCTCCGCCTTTCCTCGGCTGCCTCTCTGCAGCTCCGCACGAACGCTGTGCCCGTCTCCCCGCGCCCGCTTTTACCAGAACAAGAGCTCTGCAGCAGCGCAACTCACCTGGATTCTGGACTCCTGGATGCCGGTGAGCTCGGAGAGCCGGGTGCGCTTCTTGTAGTCGGGATAGGGATCGGCCTCGAAGCTTCTTTTCAGGACGTCCGTCTGCTCTTTGGTGAAGAGGGTCTTCCTCCTCTTCCCCTTCGCCAGCTCCACGGGGGAATTCCCGGCGGCTCCCGGGTGCCCACTCCGCGCCGCCGGGGCTGCGCTCGGCGGCCGGGGCGCGTTTTCCTTCTTCTCGTCCCGCTGGCGGAGGCGTGTCTCGGCAGCAGCGCCGTCCGGGCCCGGGAGAGCTAAACCAAGCGAGCGACAGAAGAGAATCTTAATGGTCAACCCTGTGGCGTATTCAGAGGTGGACCGAGCTGTGGTGCGAAGTCGAAATTAAAAAAAAAAACCTGCTGCACCTGCCAGAACGTTATAACTATGTCGTAGCACGCAAGCGCTCTTGGAGAGCGAGCAACGATTGATGGGGAGCAGAAATTGAACGTTTTTGCTCACGCTACGTACTCCTCCTATACATCACTACTCATATGCATTCGTTTCAGAAGCGATGCTCGATTCAATTAACAGCATTTTTTTTTCCAATTAGAAAAGGCCTTTTCGTGAAACGAAACGACTGCCAAGACTTACCGTTAAGGCGGAAAAAGCCGTCATCAAGCGCCCACGACGGCAACTGGACTGGGCCCGTGCAGTAGTCCTGCTCCAGGGACAAAATGGTGCTCAGAAGCTCCTCGGTCTCTCGGTCTAGTGCCATGCTGCCGGTCCGGTTCGTCTCTCTCAGCTCCAGAACCCAAATGATCCCCTCTCGATGGACCGTCCTGTCCTTAAATTCGCTTCTAAGCATTTGCATGACACAGGCCGGATTTTATTTCGTTTGATTCTTACGGGGTGTTACTGCTAATCTTTTGATGCCCAGTGCGCGATTAATGCTAGGAGTGTTTGTTCTGGGTGTGTTTTTGAAGCTGCTTGGGCAAAAAATGACATCTAACGTCTTTCCCTGTGCCCAGCGTAGACACATTAACACCATGGCACAGTTTAGAGGGATCAATTGTTTGGGGGGCGCTTTGATGCAGAGGGCACAGTGGCGAGGCGAAAGTGGGGTGCGCCATGCCTTTGAAATAATTACATAATGGCAGGTGTCGCATTCTGCTAACAGCCTTGATGTTTGACTCAGGATCACTCGAACCCAGGTTTTCTTTGATGGAGCAGACGAACCCTTGTGTGTTTTAGCTTGTTTGAGATGAAAAAAAAAAACATAGCCCTTGAAGTGCCACTGGATCTCCAGCGCCTTCCTGTCTTAAAAGTATCTCGGTGATCTTCTTACGTTCGCTCAGTGTAGGATTATAATATAAATACAATTTACATTCTAGACCACAGGGCAGTACTGAATCAAAAATAGCATTTAGTCCAGATTAAAATAAACTAAAGCACGAAAGGCCATGAAGAGATAGAAAATGCGTTCTTGTGTATACTAATGAAGATAGATCTATTAACATAGACTTTAAAGGAACAAGTAATAGGTTTATTCCATGCTGAAAAGAGAAGAGAGAAAGCACAACGTATCGGCTGTGAAGCCTTCCTCGGGTGTGACTATAAAGTATTTCATGCTCTAAGGGCTGAAACCGAACCCGAGTTCAGTTTCCAGTATTGGAAATGATCTCCAACGGGTCCTCTAAGAAACTAGTGCGTGCGATTTCTGAAGCCCTTAAGGAAAGTTTTCATGGTAGCGTGGCCGAGCGGTCTAAGGCGCTGGATTAAGGCTCCAGTCTCTTCGGGGGCGTGGGTTCGAATCCCACCGCTGCCACAAAGCTCTCTTTTTCCCGAAATTAGTGTTTATCCTGCAGGATAATCAAAAACTATATCTTGATGATGTATGAATAATGACAAAAGCTTTCTTAGTGCAACTTAATTTGATTCCAAATGGATACGTCCTGGATATAAAATGTCATTAAGAATAAATAAATAAATGCAAAAATTAACGTCGGATTAAAAACAATACATTTTAGGCGCAAGCCGATATTGAGGGAACACAGCTATTCTCCCAGTGGAAGGTTAAAGGGACAATGGGAGGACATACAATAACCAATCCGATCCAACCCAATCCAGACATCTAGTCGCTTTGAAGTGGGACTGAACCGCAGGTCCAGGCGAGACCCTGAGGAAGAACCCGAGACTAGAGATAAGATGAGGCATCACCACTGTATTTATGAGTTAGTTTATGATAGAGGCAGAAAAATCACCCAGAATATTCTGGACCCGCTTAACCTCTGTCAGAATACACTTTTCCGACTCCTTCAAACTCCATGGGTTTTTAAGATTTTTGGTAATGACTAGAAGTTGCTGAGAAGAAAGTTTTTAATGTAATTTTTAGGCAAAGTTGTCTAAAAATACCATTCGATCAATTTGATAAATATCGAAAAATTAGAACTTAATGGCGAAACAGCTCTCAGCGGCGCCGTGGCTTAGTTGGTTAAAGCGCCTGTCTAGTAAACAGGAGATCCTGGGTTCGAATCCCAGCGGTGCCTTTGAGTGATGGCTGTTAAACGTTTTCTTTTGGTTTGACTCCTGGTCTTTATGGCTCAAGGGGTGCTTTTGGTTAACAGCTGAACACGCTCACGAAAAGAAAACCGCCCGCAAAAGTTACTTGTCTCCACGAAAAGTATTGTTCGTGTTCATGTGTAAAGGTGCCCAAGAAAAACGGTTCTTACTACAGTAAAAGCTGGTTTATTGATTTCATAATGTTACTGTTCATTGTGTGCGCAGAAATTGTTCGCCTTATATTTTGTGAGTGGACTGGACTGAAAACGCTCATGTATTTTGGATCGTATTTACTGAATACCTTGCCCAATTATATGTACGTCTTGATGAACGCAGAGATGAAAAGCATTCATCTGTACATGCGTGCGGACGATGATTTTACCAGAACGAAAATCTAGGGGTGAATACGTTTTTCAAGGCTTTGAAAAACAGGCCTTCGTGATCACCTGCTTTGCTGAGGCTGCATTGGCAAAAAGCAAGGAATTTCTTCTTGAGCGCCAGGGCACAGGTGATCTGGTGCGCACTAAAATGACGTCACTAGCAAAACACACTGCTCCAGGTGAGGCTCGAACTCACAACCTCGGCATCGCTCTGCAGAGTACTGCCATATAAGTACCGCGCGCTAACCGATTGCGCCACTGGAGCTGCGCGACATGCCCGATTTACCACAACTACACAGCTATATCAGCTTCCAGAAGTCTATGTGAGGTTCTGAAACTGTTTTCCCTCATCGTTCGTGTAAATCACGCAACCCAAAGCCGAGTGTTACCCCATTCCGGCACTCCTGGGTCATGTTGTGAACTCGAATTGAAAGTACAAACGCTGACTGGTTGCAAGAGAAACGAGGAGAACGTCTCAGCTCTCTAGCCCCATTCTCGGTTAGAACATTTCACCAAATTCAATTGCAGCTGCAATAAATTAGTGTCAGACCCTTTAGCGTGCGGTATGTAAAAGCCAAAGGCTCAACGGTTCAGTGAAAAGATACACTTCAAACACTACCTGCTTGTTAGAGCATCACAGAGGCTGGCTGATCAGTGTCCTACTTGAACATTCCACACTGCCTGGGCACTTACGGAAAGCGCTTTAACACATCCTTTACACAGGTCAGTCGCTGTTATTTGAAAGAGGGGCTGCTTCATCCTACGACGTTCAAAGGCCTCACTCGAGGGGATTTTCACACGTACAAGTACAAAGCAGGTCACATCGCGTGTCGGTCGCGGCCCATCTTCAGGAGCGCACAAGTGCAAGAGGACTCGAGTATGAGTGCAGGAGGCGCGAAAAGGAGTTCAAAGGCACAGGCACCTGAGACAGGGGGCGGAATCTCTCTGATCCTCAATGTTTTCACCTGGGCTCTAAAACGGATCTCTCAAGTCTGCCCTTTTCGCCGATGTGAATGCGATTCTTGTAGTTGTTTTCGCTTTGAGAAGTGTTTATGGTCCTAGGATGGTTCCTCCTTTAACAACGAAAATTACCAATATATATTTTAAATACTCTTTCCCTGCCTGGGCTGCGCCAAAATTTGGACGCACTACATCATTTGCCGACATTAAAACGAGAGAACGGACGGGGGAGGAGGAAACGAGAGCACGTCCCGTCCTCTAGAACAGCACGTTTCTCAGAAACACGTCGGTTGGTGGACGGGATGAAAAGGAAGGTTTATTAAACATCAGCCAGCGGTCCAAAGTCCGCTCTTTGCCCTCACCCTCCCGGCAGAGGCGGCCGAAAACGAGTTTATGCCCACAGGCGAGCTGAGTGCTCCAGTAGGCCCTCTCTCATACACACAGAGCAATTCCTGCTTTAAAAAAAAAAGCACATCTTTTTTTTACAATTTCATACAAGAACCTGTGGAATTCGAAAACCAAGACTCTTTCCTGAAGCAATTCCTGGCGACCCCTGAGTGTCTCTAGGACCTCTGCCGCAGACATCGCTCCTGCTTTCCAGCAAAGGAGGAGCTATTTTGTAGGGTTACGTTACAGAAACACCGCGGGTTTTTTGTGCATTTGTGCGCAAGTGAGTCGGTGTGTGAGAACCGACCCCATCAGAGTTGTTAATGTGTTAATGTGTACTTTATTGAGCTTTCTTATTCGTTTGTTTTGTTTACCCATTACCTCGGCGTGACACTCATCACGCTCAAATGGATCAAATTCCACCTTCTGTCTCACCAAGGCGTTTCTTGAAACATTTCAGGAAATTCACAACAGGAGGTTTTGTTGTCATCTTCATTCAGGAGGGGAGTGAGGTTGTCCGCGTTGGTGGTATAGTGGTGAGCATAGCTGCCTTCCAAGCAGTTGACCCGGGTTCGATTCCCGGCCAACGCATCGGAGAGCTCTTTTGCCGGCAGCCCACTGGAGCTCAGCAGGTGTGAGGCTGGCCAGTATCTAGATGGGAGACTCCTGGTAAAGTAGTTCAGGTGGGGAGCTGCGTCAGCATGCGTAGACTGCAAAGGAACAAGTAATAGGTTTATTCCATGCTGTAAAAAAGCTTCTTCAGCTTATTGTGCTCACACCTGAAGAAGGCTCAACGGCCGAAACGTTGTGTTCTCTCTCTTCTATTTTTCAGCATGGAATAAACCTATTACTTGTTCCTTTGACTCCTGGTAAAGCTGAGGCTGCTGCAGGAAGAGGTGTAAGTGAGGCCAGCAGGGGGCGCTCACCCTGCGGTTTATGTGGGTCCTGATGCCCCAGTAAAGTGACGGAGACAATA